TTAATAGATGTTATATTTTTTCTTTTTTTTTTTTAAAAAAGATTTTATTTATTTATTCATGAGAGACACAGAGAGAGAGGCAGAGACATAGGCAGAGAAAGAAGCAGGCTCCTCACAGGGAGCCTGATGTGGGACTCGATCCCCGGATTGGGATCACACCTTGAGCCAAAGGCAAATGCTCAACCACTGACCCCCCCAGGAATCCCGATGTTATATTTTTTCTACCACTTTGGAATTAGTAATGTAGTTAATCAAGATAATCCTGCCTACAAAGAGCTTTCATTTAGAAGTCTAAACATGTAACAGACTTGACATATTATAAAGATTATACTTAAAATATCGTGGCAAAAAAATGAATGAATGAAAAAAAACCTCACTGGGTTACAATACCAAGGATTTATTCTCATGCTCATTGGTCTAAAGGCTGACTGTGCTTTGGCTGATTAAGGCTGGGCTCAGCCTGGGCAGCACTGCTGTAGGCTACTGGTACAGGTGGGTTTGACTCCTCACTGCAGCTGCAACACAGGTGTGCTCTATACATGTTCATTCTGAGGTCGAGGTCAAGTGGGCATTAACTATGTAGGACATGTTCTCATGGCACATGACCAGAGTTCAAAAGCACAGACCCAACCATGCAAGTGGTATTTTAGCTTCTGATTTACCTTACATTCACCAATTAACCAACTGAAGCCACATAACTGAGTTCAATCTTGGGGCAGAGAAGTACATCCAGGCCACCATGAAGCCATATAAGAATGTGGATGTATAATTCTATAAAAGGGAATGACAAATTGGGACAAAAATGTAATATCCTATATTCCTCTTACTCCTATTTTCCTTCAAGTTCAACATTCCTTTTCCTTCAATCAGTCCTCTTAAGACATGGTTTCTAGATCTTTCATCATACTCACAAGTTCTTTTGTACCAATTTTAGTTCCACAGTATTCCTGTCAAATTACAATGCTCCGAACTGAACATGATACTCCACATGGGGTCTGACCGGTACTGATTTCTCCTAGTGAGTGGCTAAAAAGCTTACCATACCTAGACAGGAACACTGCCAAGAAAATGTAAATGAAATGATTTGGGGAAGTTTTTTTTAAGATTTGAGAAAGAGAAAGCGTGAGCACACATGCATACATGAACAGGGGGAGGGGCAAAAGGAGAGGGAGAGAGTCTCAAGCAGACTTCCTGCTCAGCAGGGAGTCCCACAACTACTACTATGATGGCAACAACATGATGCTTGAGCTCAGGACCCTAAGATCATGACCTGAGCTGAAATCAAGGGTCAGTCAATCCACTGAGCCACCCAGGTGCCCCTGATTTAGGGAAGTTTTAAAAATAAAATATTAGCTACCTTTCTAATTGAGTACTAAAGATATTTTTCTTCTAAAGCATAAGAGAGACAATTCAGAGTGATAAATCCAGATTCCACATAAAGAAATTATCCTCTAAATTCTGTTTTTTAATTTCAAGAACCGAATTCTCTACCCCGATAAGAACAAATTCTCTTTAGGCCATTTTACAGTTTATTAGATCACTTAAATATATACTCTCTAAATTAATTTCATTTAATTCATTACAACTCTGAGCTAGGCATTACTTTTGTTCTTCCTGAAAGATAAGGAAATTGAGGGGTAGACAGAAGTCCAGTACTTCCTTTGTTCAGGGAACAATGTCTTTCTTACCTCTAGGCCAGAAGGGAAACACCTCTTCCCTCCACCTGGAACATTCCTCCCTGACAACCTCCTTCTTTTGCCTGCCTTACTATTATTCATCCTTTCAGTTTCTACTCAAATAACACTTCCTCCACAAGCTGTGCAGAGTTTTCATTTTTTCAATCGATATTTGAGACCATGTAGTGTTAAAGGACTCCAAAAGGTGCTGGAGTGAACAAAACACAGTTCTTGCATTTAAAAGGCTTAGCATCCAGCTTGGAGAGACAGACATAAATAACTACACAGTTGACCAATTAATTACAAGTGCAGAAAGTACTACAAAAAGAGAAGCACCATATCATCTGAGTGTGAGTTAGAGCTTGACTTTTGTGAGCTCATGGCTCTTCCTCATCATAGCATTTATCACACTGTATAATAATTAGCTTTGTCTTTATTCCCCACTATGAGTGGAAAATACAGGCATTAACTAAACTGTATTGTCATAGCTTGGTATAACTTCTGTTTACTAAAAACACTAATACTCATGTGTAGAATGAGTGATTAAATGATCAAATGGACCTGCCCAAAATACTAAATTAATGAACCAGAATAAGACTTGAACTTAGGACTCCAATTTCCATATTTTGCCTTTATATAGCATTAATAATAAATGGGAATGATTCTAAGAAAAGGTAATGCCAGCCTGCTATGCAACTACAAATAATAATTAACTTATACATACATATTTATAAACTATGCCTACCTGTAACAAAAAAACCTATGTACACACAGGTATCACAGTGAATCTCTGATACTAACATAAATATACTAATTAGTGACCCCATAGGCCTATTTATTCTGATTACTATTTAGGCATTTGTAATGAAATATGTTAAACCAACATATAAACTTACAGATTTAACTGACAAATTAAAAATGAGCTCATGCCTAAATAAGTGGTAACAATAGCAGTTATAAATAATACATATAACAAACACATATATATATATATTTATATATATATAAATTTGGGGTTATTTTAAAATGCAATGAAAAGTAATTTCTTAAACTTAGAATTCAAAGTTTATGCTCCAAAGAATGATGCTACAACAAATAAGAAACTCTTGCATATGGTAAAGTAACTATTTTTTTAACTATAAAGTAACTGTATACATATATATTCACAGCATGGTCAGCCTGCCATCTTAACAGCTAAAGACATTAGAATACTTTATTTTCTTTTGAATAATGAATTTTCTCTTGAATTTAAAGAAACTGCAAACACAACCCTCAAACTGCTAGCACCCTGTCCTTTCACTTTCTTCCAAAAGAATCATTTTAAGCTAGTCTTATGAAAGGGAATTAGCACCATCTAGTGAAAGAAGCTAGCCAAAAAATAAATTCCATTAGGGGAATGCTACTTGAACCAAAAGAAAATTGCTCATGTAGCAGTATAATAGACCACTTCCAGAAAATATAGAAAACTATAGCAGTAGTACCCTTCTGATTATGTTTCGTTCATTTATATTGGACTCTCATAGATGTTAACTATTAACATTACATTTATTATAAAAACCTAATATTCAGGATGCCTGGGTAGTTTAGCAGTTGAGCATCTGCCTTCTGCTCAGGGTGTAATCCTGGGGTCCAGGGATCAAGTTCCGCAGAAGGCCCACTGCGGGGAGCCTGCTTCTCCCTCTGCCTATGTCTCTGCCTCTCTGTGTGTCTCTCATGAATAAATAAATACACTCTTTAAAAAAAAAACCCTAATACTTATTATAATCCATCTAAAAACTGTCAGAAATGTACTAATTATGGAATGCTTAAAATGAAAAAAATTTGCTTTGTTGGAGGAACCACTAAATAATTCCAATCTATGAACTTGTAGCCAGATGTAATGAGCCCTGACTTAGTTCTTAGAAAGGAGAAACCTTTAAAAGTCATTACACATTTTTGTACAGGGAAGATCATTTTGGAGACTCCATACAGGATAGACTCATACGAAAAGTGTGTTGAGGAAAGACTAACCAGTTGAGGGTTGGTGGAAGTCATCTAGACAGGAGATTCCAAGGCCTGGACTAAAATAAGGAGCAAGAGTCTACTGGGTTTAAGGATCACTATAATAAGAAGGATGATTAAACTATTATAGCAGTTTTTAAAATCTGACTTACCTTCCTATATCTGGTTCTATTATTACCTTAAACTGTAATAAAATACTCACTTTTTTTTGGTCTTATTTTCTCTACTAGAGGGTAAGCTCCTTGAGGACAGAAATTCCTTCAGTATATGTGTTAAATAAATAATATTTAATTAATAGAATATGCACATGGGGTGAATTAATTTAATAATATAGCTTGTGGAGATAAAAAATACAGTGGCATTTTCTTAATACTATTTTTAAAGATTCCTCTTGAAAATTTAAGAGAAATTTTACATTAATTATGTACACTACCAACTCTCATGATCACTGCATCATGATGACAATTTTTACTTGGTGAATGAAAAAGCAGTTTGAAATGAGTTGGTCCTTTTATACTGCATCTTTGTATAAAAAGGGCAACTCATCTATTTTATCATTTTTTCCTCTCAACTTCTTTCTTTGAAGAATATAGCATGATTTATTTTTAAATATTCAAAAGCAGGAAACCATTAATTTTTTTCAGATACATTCATGAGAATAAAAGTCTCGTGTTTTACCTTCAAAACAAAACATGTATACATGTTAAAAACTTAGTTTTCAAACCTGGTTAACCTAGGGAATTAATAACACAAGATCAGAGCATTAGTTACCTGTGGAGGAAAAACAAAGAAACAAGGGACTCTAAGTTCTCTGTTAATGTTCTAGTTTTTAAGAAAAAGAGAAGATGGGTTGTTATTATTTAAATGATATATTTAAATATACATTTTAGATGCATAACATTATATTAAACTAGAAAGCATTTTTTTCTCCTCTCAATTTCAAAATTCAGTTATACTGCCTATCCCAAAAAGGGGCCAAAATGACTAATTAAACACTAGGGCTCATACTGAAGATAAATACAAACTAATACAAATCAAAAAGCATACAGCCTATAAAAATTCACATATAACACATCAACTACACAACACTATTAATATAGTAAAATAAAAAATTATATATGCTAAATTCCACCCTAAAATTATAAAATACTGTCACCAAAATTTTTATTTTCCTATGCCCTTTACTTCTGATGTCTAATAGTATTTTGCCTTTAGAAGGTATCACATAAATTTATATTCACTCAAATTCCTAAGCCAGAGACCTCCTATACAGATGATCATCGAGACTAGAAGACTGAACCTTCACAACTAGTAGGCACATACCTGAATTTAGGAAGAACTGGGGAGAGTCTCCATGAATGCCTACTGTGCCTGGTCCCAAGGAGTCGGAAAGGGTATTTACAAAAGCAAATACTCCACTCATGATTCCAAAGCCCAAGCCAGAAACTAAAAAGGAAGAAACACATTGTTAGACCCTTTTCATGCTATGATTTCTCTTCAAATCAAGTTTCCAAGGACTAGAGAATACTATTTTGAAGGGGAAAAGGCACAGAGACTGTTGGAGAAGTAGTGGAAGGCTGGCTCAGGAAAGTTAAGTGCTTAGCTAAATGATAAACAGGGGATAGTGCAAAAGTAAGGGAAATGAACAGTGGAATATAGCAAAGAAATGAAAAAAGAAAATTATTAGAAAGGCACAGAAACAATATGTGAGACCGAGGACACAATGCTGAAGTTTTGGCTTTGGTTTATGATAACAGTCTGTAGAATTAAGTTTGAGGGCTTAAAAGTAGAACTGAAAGGGATGACTGTGTATCACAGAAAGTAATCCCTGGGTCAAACTAGGGTGATTCAATTTAGGGATCTAGATCTAATATTTAAAACATAATATTGAAAGAAAAACCTGCAGAGGTATTAACTGTATTAATATGAAAAGTTGTCCTACTACAGCCAAAGTTATGGTAACCACCCAGAGAATATAACAGTAACATCACTCAAAAACTATTAACTAGAGTATATGCATATTAAAAACTCAACTTTCAAACCTGGTTAATATTTAATGGACATACAGATCACCTATAATTACTTCCCTTTACATAATGGTCCTGGAAAGCTAGAAATAAACAACACACACCAAAAGGCAAAGGCAAAAATAAAATACTATTTAAAATCTACAAAGATGAGGCACCTAGGTGCCTCAGTCTGTTAAGTCTCTAACTTTTGATTTCAGCTCAGGTCATAATCTCAGGGTCCATGGGATCAAGCCCCATGTTGAGCTCAGTGCTCTGCCAAGGAGTCTGCTGGAGCTTCTCTTTCTCTTCCTATCCCTCTGCTCCTCCCCTCAACCTCCACTCCTGCCCACAGATGCATGTGTGCACCTGTACACTGTCTCTCTCTCTCTCTCTCTCTCTCTCTCTCTCAAATGGGTAAATCTATTTTTTAAAATAATCTACAAAGATATAAAAAATAAAAATGGTTTTTATGTCAAGTCTGGTTTTTTTCTCTTAATGACACCATGCAGTTCCAACTTACCATAGGCTAGCAATCGCATAGAAGGTGCTGTCTCATCTGGGTTTATACTCTTCAAACCCTCACTGGCTTTTCTAAAATAAAACCATAGAGGTTTTTTTAGAGAGAAAGCAGTATATCAGGAAAATATGCAAGATATTTCAAAATCTAGACACTTACTAAGGCTCCTGATCAGGTTATACTTTACATCTAAAATATATTTAAATACCTTTAACTATAGGGAGTGGATGGTTACCCCAGGAGAGCTGGCTGGGGAGATGGGTTAAATAGGTGATGGGGTGCACTTGTGATGAGAACTGGGTGATGTATGGAAGTGTTGAATCACTGTATTATAGAAATGAAACTAGTATTACCTTATATGATAACTGGAATAAAAGTAAAACCTAAAAGAATAAATCAAATTGAATCCATTTAAACAAAACCCAGCAATTTTTCAATTAACTAAAATCAACTAAAATTTTCACACAACTCTTGCCTTTTATCTGACTTTTGACATAGAAGAGAAAAAATAAGAAAAACATAAGTAAACAAGCCACCAGGGATTGAATTAGTAAGAAAAAAAGCAATGGTTCTGACTACTTTCTGAGCTCGATAAATATTTAATTCAATATCCTATGGCCTCTTATCACTTCAAATTTTTCTCTCCAGAGTACTATATCTTCAATCCCAGTTTGTTGGTACTTTGTATTACCTTCCACATAGGCTATAGCTATTTTGCTACTCTCTCTTTTACCTTCCACTGCATAGAACTTAAGTTATACTCATTCTCCAAAGTCTCATTGAGTCAGCAGCTTCTCAAAGAATTCACCTCTACCAATGATTGGTAATCGCTAATCTCTCCTTACTCTTAAATCCTAGAATGCCCATCGTCTGAGCCCTCATATGGGTAATCATATGGTCTTCAGATGATAAAATATTCTACAGATTTGTTTCATATTCCAATCAGGCTTCAGGGGAGAATTAATCAGAGGAGAATAAAATGCTACCCTCAGAAAAGGAGATAAATGAGTATCTATATTAAACGTTAAAATACTGCTCAATAAGAAATGATCTTCAGAGTGATATTTGTACTTCTGTTGTGAACAATTCATAAACTTGAGTCCATGCTCCCATGCAGATGTGTTAGGTAGGAATGCAAAGTGTGGCTGTCAGTTCTACTATTGTCACTATTTGTTGGTTAGAAACTCTGCAACAGTGATCCTGACTCAAAGGATATTTACATTTACAAGAGGGTATATTTGTTAAAGCAATAAAGAAACCAAATACTTTAGATTGAGTTTTCACTAAGTGCTGAAACAAAATGAGCTAGGTTAACTCTAACAGTAGAAAATTAACCAGAACATATTTACATTCTGAGTATTGTGTTAATTTAAATTTCAAGGTATGAATATTCAGTATAGTTGGTCTATTAATTACATAAATATATAAATATCATTGATTACTTTAAATAAAAGCAATGCAGAATTCACTCAAAATAATAAATATAATGAAAAAGGCCTTTTGCTTTTCTAGACTCGAAAGAAACAACCTGCCACTTCAGAGCTCTCCATTTAGAAGTATTATTTGGTAGGAAGGACATTAATCAAAACTTAAGTGGCTATATCATCTTTCTCTGGAGCAGTAACCAACTAAAATGTTTCATTTTCCTAAATAAAATAAAATAACCTGTCACAGGAATGCTGTTAAAGACTAAAGCTTAAAAAAAAATAAAAAAAAAAAAAGACTAAAGCTTAGAGACATATATGGCAGTAATAATCTCTATCAACAAATGGACATAATGGTACAACAAAATCAAATTTAGGGGGATTTGTTTTATATAAGCTGCTCAATAATGATTAAAAGCAAAGTACTGCTATCACAAATGTATGAAATACATAAATTCAAAAGTTTAATAAACTTCTTCATTCTGTGTTGCAAGTTTGTGAGAGCGAAGGTCTATAGCATTAACAGTTCTCAATGCTAACATTAGGATGAAAAAGTAGAAAACACCATTAGTTTCCATGTTCCTGATGGATAGAACACATGATTGATGATGACAGTGTTTTTAATTTGACCATTTTACTGAAGTGGAAAATTCTCTGTTTGCATTTGTTACTCTTTCCAAGAACAAAGAAGAAAAAGTCCAATTTTTAAAATATAAATTTTGTGGGGCACCTGGGTGACTTAATAGGTTAAGCATCTGCCTTTGGCTCAGTTTGTGATCTCAGGGTCCTGGGATGGAGCCCTGTGTCAGGCTCCCTGCTCAGCAGGGAGTCTGCTTCTCCCACCACCTCTGCACCCCACCCTTGCTCATGCTCTCTAATAAATAAATAAAATCTAAAAAAAAAAATTTGTAGTAATGATTACCTTAACACTTTTCTATAAATGGAAGATTTTCTAAAATAAGGAAACATGGTATCGGCATTATAAGACAAACCTGGATTAAATTACAAAAGTTTCAATTCAAGCCAAAAAAAATTTTTTTTAAAGATTATTTATTTATTCATGAGAGACACACAGAGAGAGAAAGGCAGAGACACAGGCAGAGGGAAAAGCAAGCTCCATGCAAGGAGCCTGATGTGGGACTGGATCTCAGGTCTCCGGAATCACGCCCTGGACTGAAGGCGGCGCTAAACCTTTGAGCCACCCAGGCTGCCCCAAAAAAGATTTTTTTAGAAGATTTTATTTATTTGAGACAGAGAGAGTGTAAGCACAAGCAGGGTGAGGGACAGAGAGAGAAGCAGACTCCCTGCTAAGCAGGGAGCCTGATATGGAGCTTGATCTTAGGACTCTGGGATCATGACCCGAGCTGAAAGCAGACGGTTAACCAACTGAGCCACCCAGGTGCCCCAAGGCAAAAAATGTTTAATGTATGTTTTAGGCAATGTATGCAACCATAATTTGGATTTTTAAAGAAATTACTATAGGAACGCCTATCGCTTATGGCTACATGCCAGTTTCTTACAGTACAACTCTTTGCTAGACAGAAAGTTACAATTTGTTTATTCGTTCTTCAAGATGAAGTACTGTTCCCAAGGCCTGACCCATGAAATAAATCTATATTAGATTGCAGTGATATTTTGATTAAATTCCATGTGTGTAAAAAAAGTGCTACAAATTGTCCACATTTAATCTTGGCACCAAATTCAGATAGCAAAAAATATGACTGCAGCAGTACTTTAAAGAAAACCTACTTTGGAAGTGGAGAGTTAAAATATTAATTAAACCAAAGTTTCTATATTTGAATGTAGTGCAGCATATGAGAGCAACTTAAACGTATTTATGTCATGAATAAGGTATCTTAATAATTCACAAACTTATTTTAACATATAACTACAGGACAGCCAACATGTCTGAAATCTGCTAGAAAAATACTGTACAATAATCCTAAGGCCTGGTGAAGATACATTTTGCAATGGCAAGTAGACACCTGTTAACAAAGGTTTGTCCTATTATCTGATTGCTAATTTCCAAAGGCCCGTTCAGAGGAATAAACATGGTTTCCCTAGAAGGCCAAAGAGGCTTCTTTGAACTTACTGGGCCTTGATTGACCTGTAATTCCCTCCCCATATGTCCCCAATCCCCCACTACCTTCATTAAAAATGGCAACCTATGTTCAGCTTGTAGTCCTTTAGAACTATAGGACAGTACCAATAAAAGGATCTATTCAAATTCTAGATAGAATACACACACACACGAAAAAAAACAGATGGTAAAGAACGGCAGATTTAGTCGTTCCACGTAAGTTGGATTTTAGAACCTAAAGTCCTAAGGGGTTATTTTTAAGATTTTATTTATTTGAGAGACAGAGATAGTGACAGAGAAGGCAAGAGAAAACATGAGCGGGGAGGAGGGGGAGAAGCAGACTCCCAGCTGAGCAAGGAGCCTGACACCAGGCTCAATCCCAGGACCCTGAAATCATGATCTGAGCAGAAGGCAGATGCTTAGCCGACTGAACCACCCACGTGCCCCCTAAGGGGTTATTAAACCCATGTCCCTAAACTGTAAAAATCTATTCAAAATTGGGCCTCTCAAAATTAGAACCAACATATGTGAAAATGCAAAAACAACATGAGCCAGAGATATTGCCGATAGGAAAAAACCAGTGCAACCTGAGCCTAAATAAGAGTACAGTGCCCAGGGGCACCTGGGTGGCTCAGTGGTTGAGCATCTGCCTTCAACTCAGGTAGTGATCCTGGGGTCCTGGGATCAAGTCCTGCATTGGGCTCCCCACAGGGAGCCTGCTTCGCCCTCCGCCTCTGTCTCTCATGAATAAATAAAATCTTAAAAAAAAAAAAAAGTACAGTGCCCAAGCAAGGGTGGGAAGGGCCACTGCTCTCTGTACTGCTTCGACCACAGCAGGTTACCGTGGGGCATCCTAAGCCCAGGGAAACTCCAGTTAATAACAAAAAGCGGCATGTTGACTGAGGAACAGAGAGGGAAAAAGTTTAGAAGCCACATCAATGTCTTCTGAGGGCCAGGTGAAGAAATGAGGTATGTGTAGCCTTGAAAGACACAAGATGACAACCACGTAATAGAGATTTCTTTTGGCTATGTGGGGCACAGGACAGAAAGAGGAAGATTTTGATTACCTTAATATCTTCTACAGTTAAAATTTTGGAATGAAAGTAACTGCTGCATACCAGAAACATTCAACCACAGCTGAGTAGATGGTCCATCTGTTAAGGATTGTATTCCTGTGGAAACTTAAATTAACTGTTCATATTTGGTTGTTGCTCTTTAACGTTTCCAGAAATTGATGGGAATTTCATTTTTAAACCTTTCCTAAGACTTTTGCTTCTAAGCACTGGCTTCCTGATTTGCTATTTGTAATTAAAATTACTTCATTATTAAATTTCAATGCCTGTTATTAAAAGCAACAAGTAAGGGGGTGCCTGGGTGGCTCAGTCAGTCAAACATCCAACTCTTGGTTTTGGCTCAGGTCATGATCTCAAGGTCATGAGATCTACACTCAGCATGGAGTCTGCTTGTGATTCTCTCCCCCTCTGCCCCTTACCCCCTCTCTCTAAAACAAATCTTTTAAAGAAGAAAAAAGCGCTAAGTAGGGGCATCTGGGTGGCCCAGTCGATTAAGCCTGACTCTTGATTTTGGCTCAGATCATGACCTCAGGGTACTGAGACGGAGCCCCAAGGTGGGATCCACTAACTGGGAGCCTGCTTAAGAATCCTTCTTTCTGCCCCTCCCTTCTTCGTGAAATAAGTAAATAAAATCTTTAAACACAGCAAGTAAATAATATAGAAGGCCCTGCATACTGGCAAGAACAAATTATCAGAAGCCTATTACAAGAGATGTTATTGAAGTTTTCTCTTGGCAAAATGTATGAAATTTGTGGTATGCCTTAATTATCTCATTTGCAGAATTACAAAAGGACACTTATCACTTTATTAAGCCTTACTACGTACTCAAAGCCAACCTCATGACTGCCTGAAAGAAAATAGTTCCAAGTTCAAACTGTGTTTCAAATCTGTGGTTTCATGTGAGGTCCTCAAGGATCCTACAGGTGACCTACTTCCTGGCCTGAAAAGGGAACCATGGTTTCTTTTTAAATATATTTTTCTATTGTAGATATGAAATATCACAAAATAAACTCCTGCTTTTCCCTAATGCAGTCAAAATAATGGCAGGCATAATCTCCATAAGAATTATTTATTTAGAGTGATGGCAAAGAGAAGCACACATAAATTCTAAGCTAGAATCGTTTTTTCTTGTTTCAGTGACTATTTCTCTAGCTTATTTTTCCGCAGGGCACATATTATCTTCTAGCATATAACGTATTTTTTTATTCATCCAGTGTTGTCTCTTTCCACTCTAATATAATCTCCATGAAGACAGATTATCTTTTAATCATCATGTATCCCCAGTGCCTAGGATAGTGCCTGACACTGAGTAAATTCTCAAGAATATTTTTTGAATGAGTAAAGAAATGTCCATAAGCTAAAATACTCAATATTTGCAAGGCACCTGGGTGGTTCAGTTGGTTGAGCCCCCAACTCTTGATTTCAGCTCAGGTTATGATCTCAGCATTGTGGGATCAAGTTCCATTCCCTTGGCAGGGAATCTGGTTCAGGTTCTCTCTCTCTCCCCCTGACCACCCTCCCCCATCACGCACACAGTCTCTCTAAAATAAATAAACTTAAGAAAAATACTTGTATTTTCAGGCTGGAAATATACAATCCCTTGACTTTCAACTCTGTATGAAGGCACAGACTCTCAAATGCCACACTATATTAATGTTTCAAACTACTAAATCTAAATCAAGTATAAATGGAAAAAAGGTAAAGCAAACGTTTAACTTACTTTAAAAGTTTATAATACACAAACCGAAACAGTTCTTGGATAAGGACTGAGACTAACACTCCCAAGATCAGCAGATATTTCTGTATTGGTCCATCTTTGTTGGCAGTAATGGTTCTTGCCACGAACCAAAAAAGGGAGGAAAACAGCAGAGACACCAACCAGAAAAAAGCTCTGAAAATTAGAGGGGGTAAAAAGCATAATGAATAGGATTAATAATGATTTAAAAGTGAAAAAAAAAAAAACAAATAAACCTTACTTGAGAAGGAAGAGATTTCCTGACTCTTTAATAAAGCAGAGGGGGTGGGGAGAGTCCTCATAAGTGATCCCCTGGATTAATTGTTCTTAATGGTTCATTTTCCCTGGTGAGATGAACATGCAGTCCAAAAGCAATGTGAGGTTTTTCCTATCATTTTTTTTTTTTTTTCCAGCGGCCCTGCTGCTTCTAAGTACACCTACAGACTATCTGCCAAGGACTGTCTGGCTAGAAACTTGGTTATTTGCTGCTACTCTCCCTATTTAATGCTTTGTCCATCCATATATAAATATCTCTCCCCCCCCCACAAACATCCACATCTCTATTAACACAGTGATTAGCATAAAATTCAGAGGTTGAACACCTGTTGAAATCTAAGCGAGCTTTCCAGGCCTGGCTTGTACAACATACCTGTGGATTTTAATGATTGTTAACAACAAGCTTTGCAAACCTTTTGCCCAAATCTCCATTTGTTTTCAAATGACACCTGTGATGCAGCACTTTCAGTACAGCAGCAGCTCAGAAAAGGTGGTTATCACCGGCCTACCACGGCTGGGCTGTTTCTCCTCGTACTAAGACTCAAAGGTGGAGGGGGCCGTGGGAAGCCCCGGAAACGCTGCCAGACGGGTGAAAACCGGGATTATGACCACAGTCGCCGCCAGAGTTCACTATTTACCAAGCTCCTGCAGAGATGCACTGACAGGTGCTTCCGTTTTCACGGGTTTCCACCCTCTGGGTGTACACCTGGATCACCTGGGGAGCTTTAAAAGAAAAAAATCCGTAGCCCGAATCCCACCCCCTGGCCGTGGCGATGCGGCTGGTCTCGGCAGGGCCGGGCAGGGGCGTTGTTACGGCCCCAAGCCCCAGGTGCTAACGTGCTCGCAACCCCTTTGGGACTGATTACAGATGCCTGCGACAGTCTGAGGGAAACTAGGGACCCCCTCCGTAAAATAAAACACGAATATTTAAGTTCACCCACGATTTTTGATACGATTTTAATGGCTTCACAACTCGGGCCCACCCGCAGACCCTCGGCGCACGGTCCGGCGCCCCGCAGCCCGCCCCGTGGGGTCCCGCCGACCTCGGAGGACCGGGGGCGCCGGGGGCGGGCTCGCGGCTCTCCCCGCCCGACCCTCCTCGCGTCCACAGCCGACAAGGTCGAGCCGCTGCGGGGGGGGGGGGGGGCCCGGGTCCGGGGTTTCCCGGAGCAACCGCCTCACCCGATGATGAGGAAGATGACGCGCAACGGCTCGGTGGCGATGGTGAAGATGTAAAGCGCCAGCGCGGGCCCGAAGGCAATGAAGGCGCAGCCGAAGAACACAGCCGCCGTCATGGCGACCGCGGGAGCCGGCCCGGAGGCCTGGCGAGGACGCGAGCTGCGCCGGGCGCCCACGGAGCCGAGCGGGGCGCGGGGCCGCCGGCGGGGAGCGGCGGAGGGGCGGGAGGAGGGGGCTGGGGGGGCTGGGGACGGCTGGGGGGCGAGGCGGGGCGCCGCGGAGACTGGGGGGACGGGGCGGAGCGCGGCGGAGGGAGCGGGAGGCGGTGGGGGCGCTGCGGGGCGGGGCGCCGCGGAGACGGCGGGAACGGGGCGGAGCGCGGCGGAGGGGGCTGGAGGGGGCAGGAGGAGGGGCTGGAGGAGGGGCTGGAGGAGGGGCTGGAGGAGGGGCTGGAGGAGGGGCTGGAGGAGGGGCTGGAGGAGGGGCTGGAGGAGGGGCTGGAGGAGGGGAGGGGGGCGCTGCGGGGCGGGGCGCCGCGGGGACGGCAGGAGCGGGGCGGAGCGCGCGGGGCGGAGCGCAGCGGGGAAGGCGGGGCTTTGAGGCGGGACGGACCGCGGGGAGGGCGCCGGAGCGGAAGGGGCGGAGCCTGCGGGGTGTGGAAGAGGAGTGGAGGGGCGCGGCGGAGGGGGCCGAGGTGCCCGGGCGGAGGAGGCTGGAGACGAGATTGGGCGGGGCGGGGCGGGGCGGGGTACGGCCGGGGGTGGGGGACTGGATGCTGGAGGCGGGGCTGAGCGGGCTGAGCGGGCGGGGCGGGGCGGAGGAGGCTGGAGGCAGGGGCCGGGGGCGAGGCGGGGGCGGGGGCGGGGGCGGGGGCGGGCGTGGCGGGGCCGAGGATGCTGGAGGCTGGAGGCGGGGGCGGAGACGGGTCGCGGCGGAGAACGCGGGGGCGGGAGGCGGGAGGCGGGAGGCGGGAGGCGGGGCGGGGCCGGCGGGGTGTGGAGAGAGAGGCGGGGCGGGGCCTCATCGCCAGGCTCTCCGCCCACTTGGCGCGTGGGGCGGCCCAGAGGCCGAGGCCGCGTTCGGCGGCGGCTCTGGGGGAGGCCCGGACCCTCTGCAACTAGCGTCGCCCCTCGCTGGTGCGCTTTGGTCAGGCCGGCGGTGCCTGCAGGGAGAGGACCTGGGAGAGGCGAGGTTCCTCAGCCCTCTTTGGAACCAGAACAGGTAAAAGAGTCCAGATCAACTAAAGAAAAACAGCTCTGGACAGAAGGACTACACATCTAAATAAAGTTGTCTTTTGTATTTTTAAATTTTTTTTCTAGATAAACTTGTCTTTTTTAGAGCACATTTTGCCATTTGCACAGTTGCAGGAACTTCGTGCTTTGTCATATACAGCACCCATATAGCGGTAACGCAGGCGACAACTCACAACAGTGCAAGTATGAAAGAGTAAAGGAGGAGGTTGTCCTTCTCTGGGTTGTTTTGTGTGTCCTCCCCACACCCCCAAGTCTTCAGAAAAGGGGTTTTGTTTTGTTTTGTTTTGTTTTGTTTAGGGAGGGGATAAGGGGTAGAGGAAGAGGCCTTAAGCAGGCTCCTGGGCCTGGTGTGAACCCCACAACTCAGATCCTGAGCTGAAATCAAGAGTCAAACCCCCTTAACTGACTGAACCACCCAGGCGCCTCCCGAAAAGTTAGTTTTGGAGGCATTCTCTGATCACCCATCCTATAGTAACAGTAAAATCTCCCTTTTGTTTTCACTTGTTCATCTATGTCGCCAATTAAAATCTAAGCTTTTGGAAGGCAGGAGTTTTGTTTTGTTTCTCTGTTTCCACAGCACCTAAAAGCTGCTCACTAAATATCTGTTCAGCTAAAAAAATTTAATTTAAAAAATGGAACTTACAAATATTTGCTATTCTATATTAATTTAACAATCTCTGAGAGGTTTAAAAATTAAAATCAAGAGATCCCTGGGTGGCTCAGCGGTTTAGCGCCTGCCTTTGGCCCAGGGTGTGATCCTGGGGTCCCTGGGATCAAGTCCCACCTTGGGCTCCCTGCATGGAGCCTGCTTCTCCCTCTGCCTGTGTCTCTGCCTCTCTGTTGCTCTCTGTGTCTCATGAATAAATAAATAATTTTTTTAAAAAAATAAATAAAAATTAAAATCAGAAAGTTACCCTGATCATTCACCTCTAAGACTTTTCTCCACCTTTAGCAGGAATGATGATAGTATCTCATGGGTTATTTTGAAGATTGTGCCTGCACAGTAAGTACTGTTTAAGTGTTAGCCATTCCTATTCATTCTTTAATGTCTATCATGAATAAAACTCTTGGAAGTCAACACTGAAAAGACAAACACCAGGAGACAAAAGTTGGGACCTGACTGAAGAGGTTTTTCATCTCATCTCTGAAAATGGGCCTTCAAATAATACAAGCATTTAATTCTTATGGTAAAATGTCATCTTCACCCATTGAAAACAGACATATATATTTTCTATTTACTTCACAAAATATTTCATTTTGAAATGTCTTATATAAGCACCTACTGAAACTTAGGTTGAGACAACAGTTCAAAATGATAGAGTGACTCACCCCTACATAGATTCTTTTGGTTCTGTCCTGAATCAAAGTTATCAAATGCAATTCCATTACTTCAGCTCCAAGCAGAAATGCCTTCACAGAAGCATAATGTACTCAGGTCCTTAGCATAAATTAAGATTTTATACAACAATGGCCATCTACATTTTTTCCTCCATATTTTATAAAACTTTAATTACCACTGTTCAATATCTTTCACAGATCCATGCTTTACTATTTGAGTTCAGGGCTAGAAAACATTTTTGTTTCTCCTGACAAATGCATATATTTAGCTCTGAGTGCCAACTCGTCGTATTCAGGCTTTATCTTGACTCCCAAGAAGCTCAGAGATAAATTTAATAGTCAATTGTAGCAACTATTCTTCTGGGTTTTTGTTATTATAATTACTGCCATGACTTCAGAAAATGACTTATTCTTTGATCCCTATTTATTTAAGTTTTTTTTTTTTTTTTAATTTATTCATGAGAGAGGCAGAGACACAGGCAGAGGGAGAAGCAGGCTCCATGCAGGGAGCCCGATGTGGGACTCAATCCCAGGACTCTGGGATCATGCCATGAGCCAAAGGCAGATGCTTGGCAGATGCTTAACTGTTGAGCCACGCAGGCGTCCCTTTGATCCCTATTTTAATGATTTGATTACCCTAATTGTAACTAGATCTATCTGTCTTGGTTAAAGTTGCCTCAAATATTTTGGAAGTAGGCAACTCAACATGCAAAACTAGAAGTTGGGAGAATTTGTATTCATAGTATCTTGACCATGTTTCAGTTCACTCTTAGTCTTCAAATCTAGTTAAAAAATGGAAAGGTAGTAAAAAAAATGTAATGAGTTTGTCTCCCATGTCAGTAAAGACATCTTTAACCGATATCTTTTGGAATAGAAAAGAAGAAAGCAGCTAGATCAAATGGACAAATTCACCAATAAAATAATCATCAGCATTCATGGTTATTTACCAAAAAACTAATTTCAAATTGCCTTACATTTATACAATGCATTGCATACAATGCATTTCCTTACATTTATACAATGCAGTGTTTAAAAAGCACTTTTAGGGCAGCCCTGGTGGTGCAGCGGTTTAGCACCGCCTGCAGCCAAGGGAGTGATCCTGGAGACCGGGGATCGAGTCCCACATCTGGCTCTCTGCATGGATTCTGTTTCTCCCTCTGCCTGTGTCTCTGCCTCTCTCTCTCTCTGCATCTCTATGAATAAATAAATAAGATCTTTAAAATAAAAAGCACTTTTACACAGACTTCAACAATTCTGTTTACAAGAGAGGAGTTTAAAGCTAAGTAGCAGTGCTATTGACTCCAAGTTTTTATGTACTTACTATTAGCTTCCCTCCAAGATTTGAAAACATAAGGTACTAAGTGATGAAGTTAAATCCCTAAGAGGTAGGGCACCTGGGTGGCTCAGTCGGTTAAGCATTGACTTGATTTTGGCTTAGGTCATGATCTCAGGGTCTTGAGATCAAGCCCCACATCGGGCTCCATGCTAAGCTTAAGATTCTCCCTCTCCCTCTGTCCCTCCCCCTGCTCATGTGCGCGCTCTCTCTCAAATAAATAAATAAATAAATAATCCCCAAGAGGTGAGGGGCAGAGGAGGCTGGCATATGCAATAGATCTGGATATAGATCTCTGAGAATTCCTCAGAATTGGGTGCATATGGGGAGCTGGGAGGAGGGGGGTCAGGAGGCGGGGTGTGTAGACAAAAGCAATATCATATTTTAGCAATTGATCAAATAAGGCTTTTTTTTTAATATTTTTTTTGAATTTTTATTTATTTACGATAGGCACACAGTGAGAGAGAGAGAGAGGTAGAGACACAGGCAGAGGGAGAAGCAGGCTCCACGCACCGGGAGCCCGACGTGGGACTCGATCCTGGGTCTCCAGGATCGCGCCCTGGGCCAAAGGCAGGCGCCAAACCGCTGCGCCACCCAGGGATCCCCTCAAATAAGGCTTTGACAGACCCCCAAGTAATTCACAAGACATGAATGAATTCACTTGAGCTTTGTATTCTGGTAGTGCTGATAGGTTTATTTTTTTTATTTTTTATTTTTTAAAAGATATTATTTATTTATTCATGAGAGACACAGAGAGCGAGAGTGAGAGAGGCAGAGACACAGGCAAAGGGAGGAGCAGGCTCCAAGCAGGGAGCCTGATGTGGGACTCAATCCCGGGTCTCTAGGATCACACCCTGGGCTGAAGGCGGCGCTAAACCACTGAGCCACCCAGGGATCCCCCTAGGTTTATATTTACTCAACCATTTATTCACTCATTCAAAATGCATGCTGAATGCTTACAAAATATCAGGCACAGTGCTAGGCACTGGGAATGCACAAGAAACAGATGTGCTCCTGTCTCCGTGGAGCTTATGGTCTAGCGGGAAGCCAGACAGGCGGATACAGGATGCCATGAGAATATACAGCAAGGGCGAAGGGCATCCAGTCCAGATATGTGAGAATTTGTTAAGGAGAATACTCATTCATTCAGGTCTCTGCTTAGGGGTTGGCAAAAATGGGACTCCTGGGTGGTTCAGCAGTTGAGCATCTGCCTTTGGCTCAGGGCCTGATCCCAGGGTCCAGGATTGAATCCCACATCGAATCCTACATCGAGTCCCACATCGGGCTCCCTGCAAGGACCCTGCTTCTCC